GTCACTCACTTTGCCTCAAGAAAACTCGGGGCAACGGACGGGGGCCCACCGCCTCGGGGTCCACGGCAGTCTGCCTCATCTCCAAGTTCGCCTCAACGTAGACCGTCGAGCTACACGATAGAGGAAGTCACCAGGTCATGTCAGCACCAGATCCTTATTCAGCACATGTCACTCGCCAAAAAAGCTCACCCCTTCCCAATCTTCCTCAAGAACTCGTACTCGATCTCCCTGAAGCAGTGGACAGTGTGCCACGACGAGCTTTGCACTAGCACCTTGTCGTCAACGATGCACGGAACAGAAAGCAATAGCATTGAGCTTACAGCCGTTCTCGTTCTTCCTGCCGCTGCGAGTGACAACCTTGTAACTGCGAGTCGACGTTGGTGTCAGCGCGTGACCATGCCCAGGCAATGAAGGAGACGAATCGCAGGTGCTCACGTGTAGTAAGGCTTGCCAGACGAGGTCTACGACACATGTCAGAAGATGCCCACAGGTAAGTAGACCCCAATCAAACTCACCTGCTTAAGCTCGGGGTCGGCCCCCAATCGGCCGACAAGAGTGACCTTCGCCACGTCAGAGGCGCGGGGGGCAGAGGTGGAGAAAGTCTGGAAGAGGATATTCAGCGCCAGTCCGGTGAAGCATTGATGTCAGAACTTACCCTGGCGCTGGAAGTGGCCAAGGTGGGGAATCGTCGGGCGGCGGCAAACATGGTGAAGAGATGTGGGTGTGGGTAGTACTGGTTTTGGTTGGTGAAGTAGAAGGAGGTCAACCCAGTCGGCAAGATTTTGAAGTTGTGGACATCGCAGAGAATTTCGAGAAAACGGAAGCAATTCTTGTCCGCGTTTACTTATTTGTTGTTGCCGTCTTCGTCTACGGTGGTGGTGGTGGCGGGCCACGGCACCTAGCTCTCACAGTTGTGCTCTACCTCTATGTCTTGTCCATAGACACTTGCCCTACTGCATACCTCGTTTAAGCACGTGCCTAACATGGCTACTTCGAGATAGCCTGCGCGAGCAGCTTCCTCGCTTGAAGCCTGGCCGTCACGCGACACCATCGCCTTCACTCCCGGCACTCCCTCCTCGGCCTCCTTTCCTTTCCACCTTCTTCACCACCTCTGCCTGGTCTCGACACTCGGCCATGTCCGAAGACCGTGTGTGTAGTCTCTGCCGAGACTCTTATGGTGTCCGGGTACCTCTCCACCCCGATCCGAGCGGCTTCTGGGCGTGTGAGCGGTGCGGGCTGGTGGACGAATCGATCACGAGCGCTCGCGCACTCGTTGATCATAACTCGTATGGGATCGAGGTGGATGATAGCAAGAGAGGAACGCAGGGCGAACGGTGGACCCACTATAGGGAAGCTCAATACGAGGTGCGCTATATCTGCTACACTTCAACGATCTCATGCTGACATCACTCCCTTCTAGATTGAAGTGGAGACACTTTTGCGACTCTATCTCGGCATCCCCGATGCCTCGACCAGCATATTAGGCGTTCCAGCTGCCAACATGCGCTCAAGCTGCCACCAGTGGTTCCTCCGCATGCGTGAAGCTGAGCGCAAACACTTCGGTCTCCAGAACCAAAACAACAAGATCACCGACAAGATGCGGTATCTCGTCGTTGTCGCGATCAAGATGGCCGCGGACGAGAGCTCGCTGGTGGTGCTCAACAACAGGTTGAAGAGGCAGGGGGTCGATAGGGGAATGAGAGCTATCTCTGTCGGGGCAAGGGGAGACGAGAGAATACCGGCTCCGACGTTGTTTGAACTGTTTGTGAGTGATGAGAGACGGCATATAGATATGAAAGGGGGTTGCGCTGACATCCGTGATGCAGGACAACAGCAACAAGGATCCCACGAGCTTTGGACGCCTGCACAGGTGGACCTACCTGTCTCGCCTATACCGACAGTACAGCAGGCTCCTGCACTCCGCCCTCCTTCCTCTCGAGGCCAACCTCATCATGGTGGCAAACGTTGTCGATCGCCTCAAGGCTCTGGTCCGCGCCCCTGCAGAGGAGCGCAACGCCATGCTGTCGCTGCGCCCGACCATATCGGGTGGGCGTACCAGGGATTGGAGAGACGAGGACTTTAGCTTCTTCCAGGGCATAGACCTCGACCTGGTTCTCCCCCACGCGTACAACCTGTACCAGCTACAGCAGTGCGTGTGTCTCTGGGGGAAGAGGGCGAACCTGTCCATCGCCGTCCCATTGGCGCTGTGGGGGTGCATGGCTGTGGCTGGGAGCGTCCTGCCGGCGTACACGGTGCACGTCAAAGAGTTGATGGCGCATCACGGGGAATCGCCCTGGGGAGCAATGGAGCGCTTCAAGGAGATGCGGAACCTTATCGTCGCGTGGTCGACCTCCATCGCGGATGCCGGGCTCCCCATCCCCACCCTTCCAATGCCTCCAAAAAGCGGCTTCGGAAATGGCATCCAGGGGTACGGAGGGGACCGTCGGCGGGGCATCCCTGAGCAGGACATGGCCGCCGTGGTCGTCCCCGTGATCTCTGCCAACTGGAGACGAGTCCTTCGGGCGCGCTACACTACACGCCGCTACGCCATGCCTCTTAGTGACGAGATCTTCCTAGCCAGAAAGATCTTTGTCGCGGCGGCATGGACGCCGGCGATGGCGATGGGCCCGCAGGCGGCGCTAGCTCCTCGTGATCGCATGCCGGGCTTGGTCAAGTTGACCACCGCTCAGAAGAAGGTGAAGGATCAATCCAATGCGGCAAAGCAAGTCCTGATGACCTTCGGGCCGTTACTGCGCGCCCGGGGTGCTCAATCGAGGACAGCACCGGCGGCTGAACCTTCCCGGGCATCGCCCGCCGCGTCCATCGCCACTGCCCGCGGTACACCTCTATCCGGCAGGCCCTCACCCGCTTCGAGCAGCAGCCCGCGCCACTCGTCTCCTCGTCATACTCCTGGTGTCTTTGTCCCGCCACCGAGGGAGCCGACGATAGATGAGATGCTGGCAATAGAACTGTCATCGGATGAGGAATCGGAGAACGGGAGCAGCGACGATGATGGAAGGGTGGCAGCAAGGCCGTCTGTGGATCGGTTGGGGCGACATAACGCCTCGAACGACCAGAGGCCGTTTGCTTTCACTATCGGTCCCCAGGGATTTGAGATCGAGAAGTCGCACCAACCGCCGCAGTCCAACACGGTTATTCTTCGCCCCAGCGTGCGCCACGCTCAACCGGGTGCTGGCTCTTCATCATCTTCCCTCGCTCGCTCCACTTCCTCAGCGTTGCAAGCGCGCAGGCCATCTTCCGACTCCGACTCCGGTGTTGGGACTTCCTCTGCTGCGGAGGGGGCGGTTCGCCGCGTCAAAATCTATCCCCCTCCAATCACTCGTCCCCACTCGCGTACCTCGCGCTCTCCGAGCGCTTCCGCCGTGTCGGACACTGCCCGCTCCAGCTCCTCCACTCCGGCTTCGCGATCGCTCCGCGATACCAGCCCCTACCCAGCCGTCCCAGCCTCGGAGGAAGCCCACGTCGGCATCCTTCTCCGCGAGCGTGACGAATACATCAAGTTTCGCTACGCCTATGAAGTGGAAGCGGGGTCCATCGTGTCTCCGGAGATCGAGGCATTCATGTGGCGCTGGCTGCGGGAGCAGATCGCGAAGGGTTCGATCCCTCCCACTATCAGCAGCCAGTATCTGCGGTCCATCGGGATTGCGGGTGATCCAAAGGTGTGCGATCTGGGGAGGTGGATGAAGGGGATGGCACGCAAGTGGTCGCCCGTCGAGTGCCTTCTCCGGGCAGGTATCAAGCCAGTGGAGATTCCGCCGCACTTCGTGCCGCACTCTATGGTGCACCTCAACCTCCTGCTGAACCATTTCACGGCATACATCACCGGTGCGCCTGATCTGCTAGCACCCATAGGCGCACCCGTCGACGAAGAGCAGCTTGACGAGGAGATGACGCTGCTGTTCATCAGGGAGCGGTCGGACGGAAAAGGGAATGAGATCTTGTCGAAAGAGGAGGCGGTCAAAAGGCGGGCGAAGTACGAAGAGGTGGGGTATGTCGGCTTGGAGAAGACATGCGGCAGGGAGAAGGGGCATCGAGAGGTCAAGGACTACGAGGACGAGAGGGTGTGCAATGAGGATGGCGAGTATGACGAGCTGAATTCTGAGTACGATGACCTTGAGTCCCTCGCTATCGCCGTCTCGGAACGCCTCGCCCCTCCCGACCAACTTCCCCCTGCCACCAAGGACGAAATCATGCGAATCCGCGCTATCGCCCGGCGAGCCTTCATCAACCCGCCTGAGAACGAGACTGAAGCGCTGCTGCGGGCTATGGAGGGGTGCGATGATCTGGGCGACGATGATGTGGATCGCTTTGTGGAAGCAGGTCTAGGGGCGATCGGATGGGACGGGGTTGAGCTGGACTTTGGGGATATAGCGGACGACGAAGGTGGGGAAGAGGAAGACCAGGAGAGCGTAGCGGGACGGAAAGGGAAGGGGAAGGGGAAGCAGAATGTAGGGGGGTCGGGGGGGAGGGGGGAGGGGAGCTCGAGGGGGACGGCGTCGCCGTTGTCTACGGAAAAGAGGAAGCGGACGGGCACAGGTGAGAAACCGGGACTGAAGAAGGCTAAGTCGCTCGCGCCGGCGTCGGAACCAGGCCCCTCACCTATCCACAATCCACCTTCACAGCATCCCTCTCTTCCCATGTCTGGTGCTCTACCATCCCCTTCTTCTACACTCACATAGCATAAGTCAATACATTGTACTGTTATCTCATCGTTGCGTCTTTCATGCCTGCGCGCCCGTCTATATATTTACCCGCGATTTTAGAAACGTCCATGACGACATGAACCCATTATGCGAGCTTCTCCGCCTCGACTCATGCATGCAGGGGCAATACTCTGTCATCATTTGGACCTGCCTGCTCTGATGGACGTTTATACATGCCCTTTGGGAGTAGTTTTGCCTGCGAAGGAACGTGACAAGGGTTGATCTTTGCGTTGCGGATATATCCGATGTAAATTCCTCACAAATATCAATCCTTCAGGTGAAGTGTCCGAGTGGTTATGGAGTGTCGTTCAGGAGAACTGTTAATCCCGGCATGCGAAAGCGCGTGGGTTCGATCCCCACCTTCATCAACTTCAAACCCTACTTTTTTGCATCTTTTTTGCACACTTGCGGATACATGTCTTGTCTGGTTCAACACTCGTCGAGACCCATGGATGACCTTTCACATCTGGCTGCTGAAATGCATACAGGTCCGTGTATGTACATGTCAGCAACAGGTATCAGTATGTAGTGTCAGCGGCGAGTGGCTCTTCTCACTTCTCCCGACGGAGAATCGTCCTTTCCTTCCTCCGGTCTGGACGGCATGAGCGTGACGAATGCAAGATGACAATGCATAGAGGATGTGCATGATGGACCCTCTTGATTAGATCTGAACATCGTTATATTTCCATCAAATCTCCCCATTACATATAGAGTATCTACGTCTACAAGCCCGGCAACCCTCACTCCCTCGCAACACCCCTGGCCATCAGCCCCGCCAACTCTCCATTCATCTTTTCCCTCTTCTTTTCAGTCGCCTCCTCTTCATCGCCATCCATATCATCTACATCACTACCCTCCTGCCCTTGCCCCGGAGAGTCCGCCCTATCCCGCTTGTGCAGCACACTCTCCTCCAGTATACCGTTCTGCGCCATGTAATAGATGGCGAGGTCCTTTTGGCCTTGCGAAACATCGGGTACGAACGCAAGTGTGCGTGAAGAGTCGTGCAGGATGCACTGTATGGCCAGCAGGAGTGACTGTGATGCTTGGCGCACGGTGGAGGAGGAATCGGACATGGCCTGTGAGGTGGGTCAGCTAGAGCCCGGCACAGGTGATGATAAGACTCACTGCCGTGACAATGTGTCCCAGTTTGGGCCCCTCTGAGCCTACAACCGGTGCAGACAATCTCAGCACACACATGCCGATGCTCGTCAGCCCGAACAAGTAACCCGAGTTCCTGATCCTTTGCTCAGGCGTCTCCTTCACGGCGCCCAGCGACAGTCCAGCAAGAACAGACGCGACATCGTTGGAGGCAGCTGGAGCGGGGTGATCACCGAGCCACCGGTCGAGGGATGATCGAAGGTTGAGCAAGAGGAGCATCGGATCCGCGATCTGGCTCAGGAGCGACACAAGCGCGTTCGTTGACTCCAGAACCTGTCCAAAATCGTGTCAGCAAGTGCCAGCGCCTTGAAGCCGTTCCTACTCACAGTAGCGTCATGGCTCGCCCGCAGCTTGAACAGCGCCTGGCAGAGCTTCTGCACATCCTCTACAAGCGGCCACTGGTGCTGCACAATCTCCCAGAGCACTACAAGCCCCTGCTCGAGAAGCTCCTTCTCCTTCTCCGGCCTCAAGAAGGCAAGCAGCTCGTCCATGAGCCTTTCGAACAGACCGTCCTCGGCCCACGTCCTGCGCGCTGCATCGGCACTCTCGTCCTCCTCGCCTTCGATAGTAGGCAGGACTGGATGAGAGCTTGAGAACAGGGCGAGCTTCTGGAGATTCCGGATGTCCGGCTGGCCAGATGCGAGAGCTTCGAGGTCGGGGATGATCGCAGAGGAAGGAGAAGGAGTTGTGGGCTTGAGCGGGGAAGCCTTGTCCATCACTGTCCCCCGCCATGTCAGCATCATAACTCCCTTAGGAGTTTATTGAAGACTCACACTCTTGCCTCTTCACCCACCAGCTCCGCTCATGCTTCCTCTCCTTCAGCTTCTCCATCATCAGAGGTGTGACAGCCTCCGGCCTCGGCGAGTCCTCCCACGCCCGCCTCCTTTTTACGGCGTTCAACGGCGTCGTGAACGCGTTGCCGTTGCCGTTGGCATGCAAGGACTGGCGTGCGGGGGTGAACGGCGTGGCAGAGGGAGATGGTTGAGGCAAGTCCAGGTGGGCGGGGGCGTCATCTGACTTCTGGTGGGTACCGACAGACCCTCTCGTCGGTGTACCAAACTCCTCATTCTCATCTCCTTCCTCCACACTCCCTTCCGGCACCTTCATCCCCAGACCCGTCAGCCCCCTCTCACCCGAGAAGCTCGGCAGAGGCTTCCTCCCCTGTGTCTTCTGTGGCGTCTCCCCCGCCGGCGTGGGAGTCTTTACGCCACCTGCCTTGGGGAACGTCGACGACTGCCTCAGAGGCGACTCTCTCGATGGTGACCCCTTTGGTGGGCTCTTCCCCAGACTGCTCGACCTCGACCGCGGCGGGGAGAGCAGATCCCGCGAAGCAGGCTTGGCCCTCTGCTGCGGCGGAGGAGTGGGCGATCCTGTAGGGCTCGCGCTGCCCGCGCGGGGAGATCCCTCTGGCGAGGTGATCGATCTCGACAACGGGCCAGGCTTGGGCCGGGCCGTACTGCCCGTTATGGACGTGGACGAGCTCGACCGCGGGAGTCCTTGGGGCACGCTTGGCGAGCTGGGGACAGGGTTCGACACTATCCGCGGGGAATCCTGCGGTCGCCGACCGGCAGCTGCCTCAGCTGCCTTGGCCGCCCGACGTCTCTCTGCCATCATCGCGGCGATTCCGCTCTTCGCAGGCTTCGGCTTGGGCGCGGCGAGGGCCTCGACGTTGGTCTCGCGCGGGTTGGCCTTGTCGAGCTGCTTCTTTGCCTGCCCGTCCAAAGAGGCCATGATCACTGCAGCCCTCTGGGGCCACGTGATGTTGAACGTCCAGTAGGCTTGACGCGCCATGTCACGCACACCCGGGTTGACGTCCGCGAGGGCTTTGCGGATCGCTGCGTCCAGCATGTCAAGCAGGCCGGCAGTGGAGTCTACCTGGTGCTTGACATGCTGCGCGTGGATGTCGAGGAAGGTTTTGAGGTGGTTGGTGGAGAAGGAGCGGGTCTGGATGTTCTTGTCGTGGATGCCTGCAGAGATGTGGGTGATGAATGTGCGGGGGTGGACGTGTGTGTGGACGATGATGGCGGTGACGGCAGCTTGGGAGCGCTCGGCGATGAGTTTCTTGGTGAACCCACTGGAAATCACTCGTCAGCCGGGGACACAACGTCAATATGGTATAGCACGTACGCCATCTTCCCGAGTATAGGCAGAAGGTACTCGACGAAATTGTCGAACGCCCCTCCCAAGCATTCAGGCAGCTCCTTCAGCAAAAGACAAGACTGTGTCGCAACCGTCGTCCTGAGACTCATGACCTATTCTGATGTCAGATGTATACCACTGACCCGTCATCAGAAACGTACAGTCTTTGCAGCACCCTCCATCATCCCATTCTTTAACCCCGCCACAAACGCATCATGGTATTTGACGTGCGCTTGACCCTTGATCATCCCGCGTATGCGTACGATGCTCTTCTCCCTTGGCGCCCAGTTCTGCTCCGTCTCCTTGCCTTCAAAGAAGGGGAGCATGGCGGTGAGCTCGTTAGTGAGGTCGTGTCCTGAGGCGATCTGTGATGGAGCGTCAGTTGAGAAGCAACACTGCCTGCCTGCGTCAACTCACGTAGACGATCTCGACGTCGTCGCTGGCGGCGCTCAACGCTGGTGTCGCTGCACCCGACCGGATAGGGTCATCCTTGGGCGTCTCGGCCCCAACGGCAGGGGTGGATCTCCCAGACGACTCCCCGCCAATGACCCGCGCGATGATGTTGTCCGCGATCGTCTTGCGGACATTCCTCGCTAGAAGGAGCTTTTTGAGCTCGGAGCGCGCTGCCGGTGGTGTCGACGGCGGGGAGAGCAGAGCGATGACAGTCTACTCAGCAAGTTTCGTTAGTCATTGATCGAGGGCGTTATATGAGATGAATACCCCACTCACCTCTTTGGCCTGGTCGCGCACATTTCCATCCCCATCCTCCAAGAGATCTACCAACACCCCCAACCACCCCTTGAGCCCCAGCTTTCCTCCCACCTTGCTCCTCATCCTCACCAGCACCTTCATCCCCTCCACTTTTGGTCTCCACGCTTTCCCTTGCAGCGCATCTTTGATGCACCTCTCCCAAATAGCAGGCAGCGTCTCCTTCTCCTTGCCCTTTGATACGCTTTGCCCTAGCCCTGCGGCTTTGCCTGCGCTGGAGCTCAAGCTACCAGAGCTACTCCCGGAGACAGGAGGCTCAGCGGCATAGCACAGCTCCCCAAGCTTAAACACTGCGTTGGCCGCTGCAGAGTGGACTCGGTCTTTGGGGTCGTTGAGCTTTTCGATGAGAGCCGGCAGAACTTGAAGGAGGGCGAGGCGGAGGTGGGCGGTAGGGGCGTGAGGGATGAGGGGGAGGAAGAATGGTAGGAAGGAGGTGAGCACGGATGATTGGAGGAGCGAGTGGGGGGAGCGTAAGAGAGGGGGGAGGAGAAGGATGAACGGGTCAATGGTGGATTCGGGGAGCTGAGGGGTGAGTGTGTTAGCTAAACCAGCTTCTCCAAGCGGCGGTACCGGGCCAGATGAGATACTCACCTCTTCTACTCCCTCGAGCTCTAGGCTGAAGAACTGGATCACGTCGACCTTGCGGTCGGCATCTATTGAGTGGCATGTCAGCTCGAGTGATAGGCGGCACGGGCGTTTGACAAGTTCCGAAGGGTAGAACATACCAGCAGCTCTAAGCTTGGTCAGAGTAGCCTCGACATCCTCTTCGGACAGGACTTTCTTGCCCTCCATGCTTGCTGACATTGACAGTGTATGCGAGGTATGCTGCTTTAGACACCTTTTCCAGCAATTAACTTAGGCCTCTAATGTAGGATTGGGGTTGAGGTATGGTGCAAAGTGCGATGAACGGTAGAGTGTTGTTGACAGTCGGTGCGTGTCAGCGCGAAGACGTTCGTTCATCACTTCATCGACGTTTCAGACGCGTTCAACCAGGCTCCGGTCGTTGCACCAATTTCACCAAACAATCTGTGGCAAGCTGGCAACCAGTTCTCATGATGTCTACATTTTTTATTGCATGATATTTACTCGCATATACCGACGCCCAAACGCCTGCAGGCCTGCCTCCCTTGTGGCTTTTTACTACAACTCAGAGCACCAGACCCAGCTACTTCCTCTTCGACGGCCTAGGGCTCCTGCTCCTGCTCCTCGAATCCACGCTCCTGTCCCTTCTCTTCGGGCTCCTGCTCCTGCTAACGCTGTGCTTCTTCCTCCTGGGGGGCGGGCTCCTGCTCCCACTGCTAGA